AAAAAAAAAAAAAAAAAAAAAAAACCAATTTTTATTACCGCAGGCTAATTAATTTTGACGCTAAATTATTAATTTTATAAATCTAAACTATATATTTAAATAATAGTTGTAATTTTTATTAATTGTTTGAATAACATTTAGTTTAAAATTATTGTAAGTCCATTATCCATTCAATTTCTCAATAATATATTATTTCTATGTCTACCAAGATTCCGTTTTTATTTTACCTATAAAAAATTGATGACCAAGTTTTGGTCAATAAGAATTTTCATTAAATTTTCAGATGACACGGGGCCACGTGTGTATGTGTCACAACATACATGTCAGTTGATAATGTCATTTAAAGTCTTAAATTCTTTTTGTGTCAAAGTCTCGTATTAGTTAATTCAAGAGAAAATATTAAGGATCTTAATTTTCCATTGAAATAGAGTTCTTACCATATGCATGATATAACTTTTTTATGCAAAAACATCCATTTAAAATAATTTCATAAAATAATGTTACGTTTGCATAAGAGTCTTAAGATAAACAAAAAGATTAAAATAATACTCTAGACTGACCTTAGCTCTACTAAATAAAATACAACTACCCTAACACAGATTACATGATCTTTAATGTGATGTCGTCGTCAACCGTATATGAGTGTCTTACCTTTACCTGAAATACAATACTATGATAAAATTTGAGTATTTTAAGAAATATTTAGTAAATTTGGGTCTGATAATGCAAATATATGCAACATTAGGCCGTTGTTTCCATGAGATTTACGGCGCTTGCCAGAAATCTCATATGCAACATTAGGCCGTTTTTTTTTCTCATTTTATTTAAAAAATATAAATATATATGCAACAACACTATCTCTGGTGATATAAAATTAAAATAAAAATTAAAATAAAAAAGAATAAAAAAAACGACAAAACATTCTATTATTGAAGGCGTAGACTTTGACTTTGAGTTGACGCGCATAGGAATTTGCCTCACATGTGTTTGGAAATTAGGGATGTGTTTCCTTATGCAAAGTCAAGGTCTTCATAATGCTCTTCAACTTTCAACAAAAAATAAAAAATAAAAAAATAAATAAATAAATATATATATATATATATATATATATATTATTAATTAAAGGAAATTATACAATAAAATATTATATTTTACATTTATTATATTTTTAAAAAAAATTTATATATGTAAAAATCCCATCCCATAATTCATTTAAAATAAAATAAATGTAGATTTCACGGGATTAAAAAATTAAATTAGGAGTGGAGGCTGTATTTAAAAAGAATTAAAATATAAAAAGAACACGTGTATAATTTAAAATTATTTTTTGGGGTTTTTATTTTTTATTTTTTTAATTTAATTTAAATAAAAGGAATAATTTCATATTAATATTAAAATTGAATGGTGTAATTCCACGATCTAGGATGCGCGTTCTTGTAATTTGAAGATTTGATAGAGACTAACACAGCTATAAATACACCTGCCTCGGAATCTCATAGCTAATTCAATAAGTATTTTCATTGTTTGCAGTAATACGAGGGGCAGAGTTGTAGACTCAACCATCCGTCGTGTAAGTTACGATCGCTGAAGAACATTGTAATCGCACTTCGGTTTCTAAGAGACTCTTTGACGGAATCCTGAAGCTATTGTTTCTACTTTTGAGGTTTGATTGCTGTTGTGTACTTGCGTCAAGTAGCGATTGAGAGTGAGGGCTTTTTCTTTTCTTTTTCTGTTGAATTTTAGTGTTTTTGTTAATGGAGTCAGGAATGAGAGGGGAAGAGGAAGCGATTGTGATGACGATTGCGATTCTCTTACTGTGTGTTTGAAGTTTGATTAGCGATTGACGAGAGACACACAGAGAGATTTTTCGACGGACTCAGGAAATTGCGATTCTCTTTCTGTGTGTTTGAAGTTTGATTAGTGTTGCGATTGCGATTGCGATTGACGAGAGACACACAGAGATAGATTTTCGGACGGACTCACGAAATTGCGATTCTCTATCTGTGTGTTCGAAGTTTGATTGTTGTTGCGATTGCGATTGACGAGAGACACACAGAGATAGATTTTCGGACGGACTCACGAAATTGAGATTCTCTTTCTGTGTGTTCGAAGTTTGATTGTTGTTGCGATTGCGATTGACGAGAGGACACACACAGATAGATTTTTGGACGGACTTAGGAAATTGCGATTCTCTTTCTATTTGTTTGAAGTTTGATTCCGGTTACGATTGCGAGAGACGAGTGAGAGAGGAAGGGAGATTTTGGTGATGTTAATTATTACGAGATTGTGATTCTCCATCTGTTTGTTTGAAGGTTTTTGCGCGATTGGGGAGAAGAGGATATGGGCGGTTGCCATTCTGATGTGAGAGGAGGGCAGCAGGCGGTGGGAGGAGGGCAGCGGAGTGCTGGTAACGCCGTGACGAACAGCAATGACGCTGCTCACAACGACGCCGTTGATTTCTTCTTCCGATCCCATGGTCTTCAGGGTTTGTTCACTCAAGTTGAGGTACGTCCTGCGCTGCCGCACGCCAAATACTTTATGTTGTTTTTATTTTTATTTTTTTTAAGTTCCAAATATTTTCAGATTTTAAGCCTTATTTCGTCTCTAAACTATATATATATATATATAATTTATCAATTTTTAAAATACTTTCTTTTTGTCCTTAAATGTTATTATATAAAAATATAAGTTAAATTATTCATTTTAAAATTTGTGAATTTTTAATGTCCCTTTAATTTTAACTTTCAAAGTTATAAATTTAATTATTACATTATTTATTTATTTTAAATACAAAATTATTGATGAACCTTGACACGAAATTTATATTTAATATATTAATTAATTTGAAATTTTTGAGTCATTAATGAAAGTGCATGTATTTTGTTGTCAATCCCAAAACAGTTTTTTTTTTTTTTTAAGATAACATAACAGAAAAAATAAACAGTTACAAATAGTTAATGATTAGTTTTAAAAATTTTTGAATATTGATTAAATATAAAATTATTTATTAGACGTTTTTTTTTAATGTTTAAAGACGGATTAAATTCATAATTGAAATCTATTTACGTTTTGACATTTCAAAGGTATTTTAAAATGTAATTTTCTTGCATGTTTTTATTTATTTGCTAATTAAGAAAATATTTATGGTTAAAATTAAAATAAAATTATTTATTAGTGCAAAGTAATATTTAAGAATTTAAGAGTAAAAATATAAGTATAAAAAATTAGAGACGAATGGCTGAAGAAAACGTAAGGAATGGGGAAAACCATAATTAAGTCTCCTTCAAAGTTAATGGGGAAACCATAATTTAATTGAAAAATTTATAATTTTTCAAAGAAATACCAAACCGAGAATAATTTCCCACCAATAACCTAATCTTCGAGGAAATATCGTAACCTATATTCTGCCTTAAAAATAAGAGGGAATATTATTATTAAATTTATGTCTGCCTATATTTGCCATTATTAATTTTATGGTCTGGTTTTATATTATTTTATTTCATTTATATTTATTTAATGATTTTAAATATTCATCATATAAGAGGGTCAGTGGAAGTAAAAAACAACTTTTTTTTAATTAATTTAATTTATTTTTATAAAAAAAAGTTAATTCATAAAATTCAATATCAATATTATGGCATAATAAATCTGTGAATTATATGGGATTATAATCTGTGAATGGCCCAACAACATTAAAGAGCAATTATGTTTTATGTTAATGTGGGTCCTTCGTGGAAGTCGTGCTTAAAAATAAATAATATAAATATAGTTTTCGTAATGCTTTAATATATTGTAAGTTACCATTTAACCCTTACCACCAAAACATTGTTAATTTTTTTTTTCATAATAAAGCATGTGAATTTAATTCTTTTTAGAAACTATTTAATCAGAAACACGACAAAATGTAGAAATTCATAAGAAATATTGTTTATATCTTTATTTTTAAAAGGTAACAATAAAAAGTTAAATTGTTATTATTTTATTACTATATTTGAAGAAGAATAAATAAATTTTGTTAATAGATTTTATCTCATTGATCTAAATGGGAAATATTAAAATAATAATAATAATAATAATGAAACATAAAATTATTTTATTACCTGACCCTGTTTTCTTATTCCCTTGGTAGTTTTCTCTTAGTTATTGAATTTTAAAATTTTGCAGCTCTCTCTGTCAGCATCAAAATTACTTGATCGTGATATTACCTCAAAGGTACAAGTCCTCCTCACCTAAGACGATGTTCTTTTAAATTATTTCACTGTTTACAATGGTTTACAAAGGTTGTTATTATTGATTTTCAGAGCGATCCAATGGTGGTTGTGTTCATAAAAAAGAATGGAGCACTACAAGAGATAGGTAGAACTGAAGTTATTTTGAATAACCTAAACCCACAGTGGATAGAGAAAGTGTCAGTTGCATTCCATTTCGAGACTGTGCAGCCATTGGTGTAAGCTTTTACCCATATTCTCTCATATTGCTTTTCTACTTATTCATATCATTTTGTGGGGGGATTCAAAATGTTTACCACAGTGCCCTTAAAACATTTAGAACACTAATATTTATTTCTAAACATAACTTTCAAACATTACCCTTAAATTTTCCTTTGCGTTTCTTTTTCCAGATTTCGTGTATATGATATTGATACCAAATACTACAATGTCCCTGTGAAGGTATAAATCGTTTCAGTTCATTATCTTTGTCAATTTCTATATCATTGCTTGTTCATAATTTCTAGCGTAACCCTCTCTTTACATTGCCTAGCAGACAATTAGATTGAGTGACCAAGATTTTCTAGGAGAAGCTAGTTGTGTTCTTTCAGAGGTAAAAACTCGGGGGCTGTTTGTGTTTTGTTTTTAAACACCCTTTTACATACATTGTGTTTACATGTTTCTTTTGTGGCTCTTTGATGTTTGGCATATGGCAGATACTAACCAAACAGAATCGAAGTTTAACTCTATGTCTGAAAGATGGGCATGGAGGTTCAACAAACTTGGGCTCTCTCACTGTTCGAGCAGAGGAAACAGTTGCTTCAAGAAGTGTCATTGAATTAGTACTCCGCTGTTCTCATCTTGACAATAAAGACGTGTTTTCTAAAAGCGTATGTTTTTTAAATCTTGTTTTTCTCATTTCATTGTGTTGTTTAAATTCTTAAGTTCATTATATTGATGCTAAAGTCGAACAAATTTTGAACCTAAGATCTTCTCAAACCGACGAAACACTCTATATTAAACACATCATTCACTATTTCAAAATTAATATCACATTCTCTGTTGTTGTCTCCATTGAAGGCCCTTGATTTTTGTGCTCTTTGTTTAACTGTTCATTTCAGGACCCTTTCTTGAGAATATCTAGAGTTGTTGAATCTGGAGGTTCGATTCCAATCTGTAAAACTGAAGTGGTTAAAGACAATCTTAATCCTGTTTGGAGACCTTTACACTTGAGTATGCAGAAGTTTGGAAACAAGGCAAGCATATGAACCTCTGAGTCTCAATCTCTTTATTAGTAATAATACTTCATAAGCTTCTTAATGCTTTTTTTTAATACAGGACGACCCATTGGTCATTGAGTGTTTTGATTTCAATAGCAATGGCAGTCATGAATTAATTGGGTAAGTATTCTGTATTCATCAATGTCTAGGCCCTTTTCTTTACTTTTCCAGATTTCAGGTTCATTACCATGTTAATTGAAACCTTAAACTTCCCATTTTTGTGCCCGGATGCGATTGTTTTTGTAGGTAGTGGCCCTTCTAGTTGTGTTGATGCTTATTAATTGAGCTTGGACATTTTGAGGCTCATTAGCAGTACTTTTGTTCTTTCTTGACTTTTTGATTAGGTTGAGTATTTTCGTGGTAGGGTTCGAACACATCTTTATGAGTAGATTTTGAGTAGTTTATCGGTTAGATTTTGTATGATTCATTGGATGGTCCATAAATTATGTGAGATCCCACGTTGGTTGGGGAGGAAAACGAAGCATTATTTATAAGGGTGTGGAAATCTCGCCCTAGCAGACGCGTTTTAAAAACTTGGAAGGGAAGCTTGAAAGGAAAAACCCAAAAAGGACCATATCTGCTAGCGGTGGGCTTAGGCGGTTAGAAATAGTATCACAGCCAGATACCGGGCGATGTGCCAGAAATGACGCTAGACCCCGAAGGGGGTGGATTGTGAGATCCCACATCGGTTGGAAAGGAGAACGAAACATTTTTTATAAGAGTGTGGGAACCTCTTTCTAGCATACATGTTTTAAAAACCTTGAGTGGAAACCCAAAAAGGACAATATTTGATATTTGCTAATAGTGAGCTTGGGCTGTTACATATTATGTTTTAGTTTTAAGAAGGTTCCTTATTCTAAGGTTAAGACTCAATAACTCGTAAAGTACTCGAATAAGTTTGAATTTGTCTCTGATAATTATGTTACGATTTATTAACTAACGCTTCTTTATGTGTGGGATTCCATCTGTTCAGTAAGCTCCAGAAATCAATGGCAGATCTTGAAAAGCTTTACAGTGAAAAAAGTGGTGCAAATTTTGTTATTCCATCTTCTTCTCGTGGTGGCTATGAGAAGGTCTGATCTCTAACAACTCCATAAATTATTAATATCTATTCTTTTTAATTCATCTTCATATTGATATAGTGTAATTGTGTCTGTTAGGCTCTAAAAGGTCAGCTGTTTGTAGATCACTTTGTTCAGAAAACACAATTCAGCTTTCTTGATTACATTTCCAGTGGATTTCAGCTAAATTTTATGGTCGCTGTTGATTTTACAGGTAATTTCTAGAAGAAAAAAACAGAACATTCTCCTTTTTTGTTTTGTTTTTTCTGGTTCTTGTTTGGTTCATGGTTTGAATACTTTTTGCAGCTTCAAACGGAAATCCTTACACTCCAGATTCATTGCATTACGTTGACCATACTGGGCGGTTGAATAGTTACCAGCAGGTTAGCCAGTAGCCTCCTATCCTTTATCATCACAAAAAATGCTTAGTTTCTCAATAGCACTTTCCAGTAATTGGTCTCATTTTTGTGCCAGTGTTGATGTTTAAACAGTTCTTGAATATCTTGAAATTCTTCTTTTATATACGTATATTAAAACTATTGAACTTATGGCAGGCCATAATGGAAGTAGGGGAAGTAATTCAGTTTTACGACGCTGATCGTCGCTTTCCAGCTTGGGGCTTCGGGGCAAGAACGTTAGATGGCAACGTTTCACATTGTTTCAACTTAAGTGAAATTCCAACTCAACCTGAGGTTCTTACCGTTCTCTATTTATCTTCCTACCATATTGTGTTTATTTAGCTTATAAACTTTCAAAATGGTAGCAAACTCATCGTTATTTCAGTAATGATATTAACACGACATCGATTAATGATATTAACACGACATCTGGGAGCAGGTGGAAGGAGTGGAAGGCATAATGGGAGCATATGCAAATGCTCTTCACAATGTTAGATTGGCTGGACCTACTTTATTCGGCCAAGTAATCAATAAGGCTGCAGATATTGCTGCCCACTCTCTATTTGCCAGTACAAACAAGTATTTTGTCCTGCTGATTATAACAGTAAGCTCACAATAAACATCAATTCCCTTTGTTTAGCAAGAATTTCAAGATTGGAATGGGTAAAGTTTCAAAATAATTTTGTGTTCATCTACTTTCTTAGGATGGAGTCTTAACTGACCTTCAAGAAACAACGGAAGCTTTGGTGAGGGCCTCTGATCTTCCACTCTCAATTCTTATAGTAGGAGTAGGAAGGGCAGATTTTAAACAAATGGAGGTACTGTATTCGTTTATACCAATCATCAAAGCTACTCGGTTATTTATTAAGGTATTACAACGTAAAAAAAATGCCATGTTATAGATTCTTGACGCGGATAACGGACAACGATTAGAGAGTTCTACTGGTCGTGTAGCTACACGAGATATCGTACAATTTGTTTCAATGCGAGAAATACATAGTAAGTTAATCATATGCATATTGGAATCGCTTTCTCATCAACCAAATGGATTATGTTCTAAAGTATGGTATGTTTTGGATGATGGCATTGATGCAGGTGGAGCGACATGTTTAGTAGAAGCACTCTTGGAGGAGTTGCCTGAACAGTTCTTGAGTTACATGCGCAATAGAGATATCAAACCCATCCCTTTGCATTAAGGCACCTCATTGCAAAACTAAATTCTAACCCCAAAAAGGAAAAAAAAGAAACAAAAATTCAACTCGACAAGATTCGTCCGACAAAGAACGCACGCACTTGTTCAATGTGTAACCAGCTCCACCCACGACATCAACTGTATCTATTGAACTCAAGAAATACATACGCTCTAATAAATCGTATTCCATTTCTAAGAGTTGCATCCTATCAACATTATTTTTACTAGACATCTATACTCAAAATGTCACGTCACAGCAAGGATAAAATAGAAAATTATTAAAACTACATGGGCAAAAGAAGAAACAATAACCAATTTTAGTTTAAAGTTATAAAAATGGTACCCTACCCGTAAAGTTATATACTATTTAAGTGTTTGACTTTTTTGCTTGCATGTTATATAATACTGTTAGATGAATACGATTCTCCACAATGGCATGATATTGTCCACTTTGAATATAAGCTCTCATGGCTTGAGCTTGGGCTTCCCAAAAAGTCTCGTACCGATGGAGATAACATTAATCTCCACAATGGTAGGACATATTGTCCACTTTGAACATAAGCTTTGTGCCCTTACCAAAAGGACTCGTACCAATCTGAGATAGTATTTTTTTTTTTTAATTATCAAACCATCATCATTCCCTAAATTAGCTTACCAAGAGACCTCGTATCAATGAAGAATATTTTTTTTTATTTATTATAAAATCGTGATCATTCCCTGAATTAGCTGATGAGATTTTCATCATCCAAGAAACACCTCTCTCTCTCTCTCAAAACTCTTTTTTCTAAAACCTCTCTTCTCATTTTCTAAAGGTTTATAATTAGGGCTGAATTTTAATTATCAACGTATCATCAATTAATCACTTAAATGGAACTCTGCGTACAAGAGGTTGTGAATTTGAAAATTAGATCCGACCCGGTACTGAAAACGTTCATTTTTGTATCATCACGTCGTCTCCGCGAGCTCTGAATCTTGGGAATGGCGGACGACGCGAACAGAGCTGTGAGTACTTTTACTCTTTATCTTCTTTTTTCCATTCCCTGCTGCCATTTTACATATGCATGAGCTTTTTTTTCCCCTTGAATCAGACTTTCTTGGAAATCCAAGGTCGCATGATTGAGATTACTGGGAAGCTGAAGCAGGTAATTCCCTTTGGATTCACTTGAAGTATTTTAATGTAATCTTTTGTATTTGTAGGAATGAAGGCTTTTAGTAATTCATGTCTGGATTGATCTTACAGGTGTTGTGCTGATGATTAAAAGCTTCTTATTTTTCTTCGTATTTATTTAGTAATGTGAATGAATGTGTCCTGGGTCAATTGGTGAATCTAATCAATGTTTGTTTCTTGTTTCTTGTACATTTATTTGATGTTTAATCGTTTTCTTTTTCCTTTTTTTCTTAGTACATTTATTTAGTAAAATCCATAGAAGAACGTTAATTCCTTAGTACTTTTAGATTTCCGAATATCTCTGAAAAATCCTTTTACAACGAAGATGAAGATGCTAGCTTCCTCAATAATCACTTCACCATAAAAAATGGAGGGAAACATCACCTTTAGAGGCTGGTTGGTGATCCACTTATCTTCTCAAAAAAGAATATCTTAGCCATCACCAACCTTGTAAACATACATTTTTCCAGAAAAAGCTACTGGTCTTCATAGTCTCCTTCCAAGGGCCGAAGGAGCCTTTGCAATCAACTTTGTTGCCCAAAGTTTTAATTTCACCACTAATCTCCAGAGAGCGTCTTTTCTCTTCAATTGTTTATGCACAGCTGACATTTTCCATTGTCAGTCTCTTATCAAAGATGGTCTGTTTTCTTTGTGATTTCTTATGAAAAAACTCAGGTAAGTCTCTTTTTGAAGCTCTCTGACTTGGGTTAGTTTCTGGAATGTCAAATACATAATATATGGCATAGAGACTAAGGCATATCCTGAACATCTCAAGATCAAAATGCCATACGTCGTATATCTTTTGTGCATTTCAATATTAGTTCTTTGTCATTCTTCACGTTTCACTTTATCTGAACAGAGAATTCTTGACTTTATTAGTTTAAAAGCTGGTATTTTATTTGCTTTGCAGGTGCAGACCCAAATACGAAACAAGGAGGGAGAAAAGAAGCGCGCCTTTTTAACCTTGGAGGAACTTAAACAGTTGTCTGATGACACTAATGCATACAAATCTATAGGTGCTTAACAACAAAGCTTTGTTTTTTAACCGGAAGGTTCACTCTTAACCTAAATTATGATTAGCTGCCAAAACGTGTAATGTTCTTTCTAGATTGACTTATACTTAGCATTGATTTACTTCCATCATTCTTTGTGGTGCAGGGAGAACGTGAGTTATGCTACAATAAGTAAACAACTTAAAGTTAGATATTTTTATTTCTCAAATGATACAGATGAAATTCTCTTACTTTGTGTGGTGTGGTCTCATTCTCACCAGGTTTGTTTTAGAGCCAAAGTCGGTTCTAATGAATGAACAGGAGCAAAAGCTAAAGGATAGTGAAGCTGCAATTGGTTCACTGCATGTACGTATTAGTATTACTTTCCTCTGTAGAGACACGATACCTTCCTTTGAACTTCCCAATTTTGTATGACTGTCATTCACGTAGTCTTTTCTTGAAGATTCAATTATGTTTGCCTTCACCTTGCGTGTAACGACCCAAGCCCACCACTAACAGATATTGTCCTCTTTACGCGTCTATTAGAGAGAGGTTTTCACATCTATGTTTCATTCTCCTCCCCAACCGATGTGGGATCTCAGATTTCGCTTCTTAGTTCTATATTTTATTGCCTTTGCCAATTAGCATGTATGCTCTGACATTTCAATTTTTGCATTAACACACTAACCAACCCCCCCACCCTCCGGATCTTCCTTTTGCATTTTACACTATTTAGAGATATTCTTGTTTTATCGTTCTTTCTCCATTCATGAAAGATGATCGATCTTCATGCACATTTGTAGAGCTCAAAGGAGTATTTGGAGAAGCAGTTGGCAGAGGTGGAGAACAACTTGAGGGAGCTGCTGCAACAAGATCCAGGTATAGCTCGCCAGATTATGTCCATGTCTTTAGCATAAGACAAGCTCTCCCCCATTGGATTTGTGATTAGCTAAGCTTCTTGTATTGTATGCTCACATGCTTGGGTCAGAAGAATGACCGGTGTGATGTTGTGAGGTGTGATTCTACTTGGCTGGCTTCTATTATTTCTGATGTCAAAACTTTGTTTTTGAAATGCAATTCATACTCCCAAGTCCCCGGTTCTCATTTTAAAAAATACTCAATAGGCCATTGTTTTCAACTTTTTGCTAATAGGTTCACCGATTGTAAAAAAGTCGATCGGTGTTCCATAAATGCCTAACAATTCAAAAAAAAAAAAAAAAAA